GGTTAGTTAGTTTTCTTCTTAGTAGCTGGTACTTCTTAGTGCTGTGGTTTGAATTCAGAATGAGAATAGAGTTGATAACAGTTGGATGTTGGGGTTGCACTACTTAGCAACAGCCACAAGTCTCTGCAAGTCAGGAGGGGCTCAAGAAGCCGTGAGGAAGCAAGACCAGGACAGCTGACCTGAACTGGCCAAGAGGATATTTTATACTAGCATGTCATGCCCAGTACATAAACTGGGGGAAGCTGGCCAAGAGGCATGGATCACTCATCACTCAGGCTGGGTATGTTAGCATGTTGTATTGTGTATAATCACTTGCTTATCTTGGGGTTTATTTTTGTTGTGTTCCTATATGGTGCAATTATTATGTTTCATTTCAATTCTGTTCTCATTTCAACCCATTGCTTTTATCTTTCTTCATATTCTCCTCTCCATCTTACGAGGGCATGTAGGATGCAGTACTTAGTTACTGGCTGGGCTTAAACCTCAAGACACATGAGTTTAAGTCTCAAAAGTTTTCCGCAGGACCCTAGTATCTCCAATACTCCCTACTCTGAAAGGAACCAAGGTAAGCCTAGGGCAAATTATTTCCTATTTTGTCAAGGTAAGATAAAACACAGATATATCAACAGCTGCATATTCTTCAATGATCTTAAGACTATTTAAAAATACCTTTACTTTCCAATCAACTTACCAACTTTCAAAGTAAGGTCTAAGCATTTATTTTATTAATTAATCTCTTCCTTTCAACAAAAAAAAAAAAAAAAAAAAAAAAAAAATTAAATTATTTTTGGGAAAAAATTTAATCATTAACTTCATTTTGGGACAGATATTAATCATTCTTCACCTGTCACTATAAAACTAGTACCATTGTTGCTGGGAGAGTGCTCCTTCAGTCAGGGAGGACTCCAGTTTCAGGGAAAAAGATAATGTTTATTGGTCTGGTGAGAAGCTCAGGGGTAAGAGCACACATGAGTACTTCAAGTTTTCCCACCCAAAACAGTTCAGTTAAACAGCAAGGCTGTCCTAGCACAGGGGCCCTCATTGAACTTCACTTACCACTGTTTTCAGTAACATGAGAATCAAAAGTGACATCAGCTTCAAAAAGGGGGGAAAAAAACAACTTTTACTTCAGCCCCATCCAAATCCTACCCTCCCTACATTATTAACATACCCATTACTTCATCTATTTTACAGCCCACATATCAGTCATATTTCAAATATTTTTAAATGGAGATAGGTCATAATTTGCAAAGTAGTATTCAAACACAAATGAAAATCTCAGAAAATTCCCAAGAAAACTGCTGGAAAGGCTCTGTATACTTCTCCTGTTCCTTATACTGGTCATCCTCAGACAGAATACTGAACGAGGCAGACTTTGTCCCACTCAATACAGCCATTCTTCTGAGCATCAAACACCACTTTGTCCTCCGGAGCCTGCAGGAAGTTTGAGACAATGGCAGAGAAGTACTGTCTTCATAGCCCTGATAGCTCAACTGGACTATCAACTAAAAAGCCACATGATGTTTGAGAGGAAGTAGAATTCATCATTCTAATTGTACTTTTCCAGTTTATATCCTCTGAGGGCAATACAAGTGCAGACAAGCAAAAATGCTCCTAAAACCGGTTGTAACACCAAAAAATAAAGAATGCAAATCATCAGACGTGCATTTACATAGCATATAAAGCCTCCATGTGTACTTCAGTCATCTGAAATTACTATTTTTCTGTTAAATTCTTTCATACTCCAGATGATAGCTCAAAGATTGTCCTCTGGGACAAAGGGAGGGAGTATGAAGAAAAGCTACCAAAGTTAGGGCTGAACATTCTTCAGTATAAAGAGTAACTTTCCTTTGACAAAGTCAAACACTTGCTGATTCTGCTGTGTCCGTGTTTGAATGTCCTATGGAAGGCTTTTCTTAACCAACTGATTTAATTTTGATGCTGGTTTTTAACTGGCAGAACACATACCCCAAACTTTGTATGGCAAATTTATACAGTGAAGAGCTTTCCTGCAGGAAAATTCTCCTGGTAGGAACCCCAACACCAGCACACCATATAGCTGCAGCCACAGTCACACACAGGATGGCAGCCAGACAGCACAGCTTATTCTGAAATTCCTGTTCACTGGGATCTGATACTTCAGGCAGGTGTCACAGCAGTACTGGCAGTCACATAGCAGTGTGGGTGCTGTGGCAAGATAACCACTGCTAGCTTAGTTTCACTCACTTGCAACTCTTGATTATAGATCACAGCCTTCACCAGTAAGACAAGTTCTTCAGCAACACAAAACCTCCCACCTTAATAAGGACCTTGTTACTTCAATAGCAGCAAAGCATTTCTGCAGAGCCACTCTCGAATTTTCCATGCGGTTGCAAGGTACTTCTCTTGCTTATACGCTCAACATTTGTTTAATTACTAAGTCTCTGCTGGTTTTGCCCAGTTACTAAGACCGATAAATGGCAACATTCCAGAACAGTTTATTTAACCACCGATTTCTTGGACCACAGCCCAACAGCCATGTGACACTTCTAGCTCCCCACTAATGATGGTTAGTGCAAGACTTCACTGGACTAAAACACAAAAGCAGCAAAATGCTTTCATGCTGTTTACTGCACAATCTTAAAGCTTTGAATTTAACAATCTGTTTTGAAAACCCAATGAAATGCTTTTGCAGAGAAATCCCACGCCACATGTTCCAAATGTGTCACACAGTAACTCTCCAAAACTACGTCTCCTTATCTCACTTGTATTAAACATCACTCCAGAATATGTACCAGAACCAAATCCACAACTGCTCTGAAAACATATTAACACCCTCCCAACAAGGCAAAAAAGCCTTTTCCACCTTAAAATTTATTATAAAAATGACCTTCCTACATAATTTTCACTGGTCTTCTAAACCAGTTCCTCTGGAACATATCATGGTTAAAACAGTAATTCACTTTTGTAAACACTTAACTCCCTATACTACTAATACAATTTTTTTTTTTATTGGCTACCTATTTTCAGTAGCTCTGAAGTACAGGATTGTTCCTTGAGAAAGTTCTACAGCTCAATATTGAATATGCCTTACCATTGGGCACATCTACTTTTTTTTTATATGCTGAGGCCAATCTTTTTCATGATTTAACATTTTGAGACACACCTCCACTGCATATAACTTTTATTTCCTGGCACCCTTTATCTGCTGCCAATCCTACCTCCCAGACCATCCCCAGCTAATGTTCTAGAACATACAGAGCAAGACTATCATGAATACTTTGGGTACCTGAAGTGCCACCCACAACCCTGACCCTTTAGTCTTCTATTTCATCCCCAACATCACAAGAAAAACTCACTCTCACAAAGTTTACTGCACACATATAGCATTCTCTTTAAAGGTTAATATTCTGTATTAACATCAGCCTAAAGATGGTACCTTTATTCTCAAAAACACATGCTGCTCCTCTGACCCTGTAACAAAGCCACATATCTGAATACCTAGAAAGTACTTAGCATACTGCTGCTCTATTAACCATCTCTCTGCTCTTTGACATCTTAACATTCAGAAGAGGACTGACAACTTCTGGATTTACCAGCCAAGCAGCTCTACTAGATGCTGTTAACAGCACCCACTTTTTGCAGATCTGCAGTGGGCAGAAGATTGAAACTAATCTTACCTTCTGACTTCTTGAGTACACAGTCAGTAGTTTCTGTCTTGGAGCCACTCAAGCACAACACAAAGCTTTGTGTGCCCAGTACCTGCTGCACCAGTCAGCACAAGGCCACACTGCCTCCGTAGCCCTTGAGAAGTACAAGCAGTCAAGAACACCGTGATCATCAGGTGTGATCCACAGCTGATGTGCAACAGCCATGACTTTAACATCCTCATCTTTATTCAAAAGCATGTACAAAACATGGCACATGAAAATATGCACCGTTCTCAGAAACATTTGTTAAGAGAAACAAGTATTATTGAAAGCAATGAAGAGAAAGCTATTTAGTTGATTTCTGCATATCTTGATATTCAAAAGATTGACTTACTATTCCTTGCTCAAAAGGAGCAGCCTTTAGCCAAAGTATCTGGTCACTGCTTAATAAGCAAACTATAGGAGATGCTCAGTGAGCCAATACACTCCTGAGGTCCAGTAAGATCCTTAGTATCCACTTCAGTAGTCTGATAGACATTTATTTTTGACATTTCCAATGCTTCATGTGTTGTTCCTGGTAGTGTTTATACTTCATATTACTTTGACAGCAAATTGGACTTTACATGGAACTTGTCATTGATGAACAGGTATCCCCATGATCTATAGGGTTGTTTTATGTATTCTGCATGATTTCAAAGTTATTCAGTAATAGTAGGTCTATGAATTTTGAATTACCCTACTGTCATGTTTCTGCAGTTATAAAAAATTCCTGACAATAAGGCTTGAAAGTCAAGCTTCAAGGCAAATTTTACCCTATGTACTGTGAGTTGCCTTCAAATTTACTTGGTGACAAATTTATGATCCTTCATTCCTCTGTGGAAGGGACAGTTTGCTGAATACAGCAAATATGCTGCTACTGTGATTACAGCACCAGCTCTTTTCAAGTGACTGTTCAAAACTGTTTTAGGTTGCAAGATGTAGCTGGGGATGTGTACTCTATTTGCCATCTGTTAGAGGTGGGGCAGTTTTCTTTATCGCTTCCACAACCAATGCTCCCTCCAGGAAGATATCTTCTATTAATGGGCCTTTGAGTCTCACTGCATGACTGAGAAACTTACATAATCCCATTTTGAGATGCTCCACCCAGAGGGAGGAGCCCAGCATTCCCACCTGGATATAACCTGAGACTTGGAACACCAGCTTTCTCCCTCTGGTTCCCAGAGGAGCAGCCGCCTTCTTCATAGATTCCCAGAGAAGACCAGGCCCATCTACACCACCACTGCACCTTCAGAGGAAAACTACAGCCTTGTACAGGATCACTGCTCCAACAGAACCACACCTGACATTCCAGGAGGACGGCAGCCACCATTTAATCGTGCTGCTACCAACACCCTGACCAGCAGGGTTGCCAGGCTGTATTCTGACTCTGTCAGTGTTGTTTTGTATTACTGCGTTTTTATTTTTACTTTTATTTTTCCTAATACAGAACTGTTATTCCTAGTCCCATGTCTTTGCTTGAGAGCCCCTTAATTTCAAAATTATAACAATTCAGAGAGAAGAGGTTTATATTATTCATTTCAAGGGAGGCACCTGCCTTCCTCAGCAGACACCTGTCTTTTCAAACCAAGACAAAAGCCCAAGTTCCAATGTATGTAACTTTCTTTTCCCTCTCTTTTACCAACCTCTTTCCCCCAGAGAGCAATCAAGTACTGTTGCCAGTGTATTCCTCAAAGGGCAGTTCCACTAGTGTGGTACTAGTCTTCTGCTGCTGAAGTGGCAGCTCATAGAACCCCAACTCCTCACTAGGATACAGTGATGCAAGCTGTAGACATTGGCTTTTTCTTTGCTTTCACCCCATCTTTACAGGGCCTGCCTGTGAGCTCCACTCCTGAGTTACCACAGATCTCTAGTATCTGCAAGACTGTCTACCCATATGGTATTTTAAAAGGGTAAAAAGTCAAGGGGTTTTCCAGGTACTCCTTTCCCTAATATCACTGCTATACTTCCTACAGAAGACAGTTCAGTATTTTGGAAAGATGGTGTTTTAAACATGCAGAGACAGTATCTACTAAACAAAATGGCAGGCAGGTGTTTCAGCAGGCTTTTAAAAGCATGGCATCCCACTCCAAGCCACAAATCTCTTCAGGTGTTACACTTCCTCCTGGTTACATCATCCACATCTGTCAGGCAGTTCTGACAAAGTAGTCCAGCTCATCACTGAAAAAGGAGAACAAGATTAAGTAAAATGGCTCATTCAAGGTAGAAATTTTAATTTGCAAGTCAGCACACAACAGTTTGTATTAGCATGTTGCTAACTCTGAGAAAACAAAAACAAACCAACAAAAAACCTAAACCCACAAAGACTAATACTTCTCAGAAAGTTTAAATAAAGTCTTTTGGTCTCGTCTCAGATTCCGGATCCGTATAAAGTTTTTCAACAGGAATTCAGGTTCGGGATAGGATCATCACAGATGAGACAAAAGTGATACATGAACAAAAAATTTAGTAGGACATATTCTATTAGGTTTCTGATTGCTTGGTTTCTGTATTAAAATTTCTAACATTTTGTTATATTTCAGTAATAATGTACATTTATTTAAAACTTTTCATGTAGGTTTGAAAGCTAAGCAAGGTTAGGCACAGCTATCAGCTCACACTGTGCCTTGGGGAACAAGTGTTTTGTAAATGCCAACTATGACTTACCATATAAATTATCAATTACGTTCGTAACTATCATAATGCAAAAGGATCTGAACTGTAAACACAATTACTTTAGACTTAGAACCATAAAATGTTTAGAAGCTTTTCAGTTACATACCTGAATAAGCCAAAAGCACTTGTTCCTACTTGTTTTCTATGAAACGCATTTTCCTGTAAAAAAGACATTTATTAGTTCGGAGAAGTTGTCTTTCATCACTCAAAATACAACTTGCCATCTATTTAGCCTCTCATACAGACCAAACTGCATTATTCAACACGTGCTGCATTAGTATCAGCACACTCCAAGTTCTGTGAAACTTCACTCAGAAGTGTAGTCATGTCACAGTAAGATTTGTTTTGCTTCTCTTGCCCAGCTACTGCTCAACCTGGGTATGAACTATGATAGGAAGGGGGAATCACACTTGATTATTAGGTTATCTGATACTGGTGATTTGTACATCAGGATTAAAAATTTTTATTGGAATTCATACCTTCTACTCAGACACAGCATTCAAGCATCTCTGCAAAGACTGCATTGGTTAGTTAACACTAACAAGGTTTGTTACTTCCAACTTTCTCTACGTTCAGCCATGGAAGTCACTCCCCTTCCTACTTGCAGTAGTGCCTGGCTAAATACAGCAGCACTGTAGGCAGCACTGCTGCACAAGTTTCACTTGTACATTTGAACTTCACATACTAGAACAAAACCTGCTGTTCAAAAGAAAGTACTGGTAGCTAACAAAGTATTTAAAGGTACCTTTCTTGAATAAGGAGTAGAATAAAGTTACAGATGTGTAGCAACACAGGAAAATGAAAAGTTCTCACTCTCTATGTTTTAGCTTTTTAACTAAAACCAGCCTGTGGTTTTGTTAAACACCAATGCAGTAAAGCGAATTTCACTGAAAATTATTAAGTTCAGATACTTAGGTGGGAATGAAGTTCTTGCAGAAACCACTGCTATTATTCTTAAAGCACAGTAAGCATTTGTGAGCATTCTTTTTGCTTGCTTCAAGTACATTATACCAGCCCTTGTGAAGTGATTTATCTCTAGAGCTGAAAGAGCTTAATTTAGAATTCACTACAATTTACCATCAAATGCCATCTTTGTCATTAACATGACTTTTCCTAAATGCTCACATCTGAGTGAGCCCTAAATTGAAGTACAAACATCACCACTAGTTTTCAAACACCACCAACACTTCCTGACCATACCTGACTAGTGCTCGTTATTTACCCACTATAAGGCATAATAGCTTAAGTCTAACACTTCCTCCTCTCTGCTCTTTGAAGATGCAAGAGTCTGCAACAGTACTTCTTTGTGTCAACACAGACCTGAGGTGGGTTTCAATAATGCACCAACATTCTTATTCACAGCGTGGTGCACGCTGGCACCTCACTTGGACACAGCAACAGCATTAAACCAACACCAACTCAGATGATTTATGATTGAAAAATTGTAAGTGGTTTGATCTCAGTAGCCAAAGCCGTATGAAGTTGCTCATCAATGTACCAGGTTGGGCAGTTTTAGCATGACTCACCATTATCCACAAGTATCAGCAACAAGAACTGTAGCACCACTCATACACTCATATATTTCACAAGACAACCCTCACCTCTTCCACTAGCAATGTACTAAAAAAGGAATAAATTATCAACAAAAAATGCCTAGGATTTAATCAATAAATATTACCTGTTTTATTTCCTGTTGCGAGGAAATCTTTCTTCAGGACATGTCACATTGCCATTACTAGAAACTGTTCATGCCACTCTAGAAATTTGAGTAAAATCCCACATTACAACAAGTTCACGTATAATATAACAAGCCAGTAAGAACAACCAATTTCTACTTTTGTAACAACTGGTTATAAGCATTTGAGTAAAATTTAAATGAATACAGATCCTGGAGTTCTTTCTTTTGTTCTTTCAAAGTAGTGAGGATAACAACTATACATTAAAACAGTGAATACACATTTTTATTAAAATATGGGAACATTTGCTTATTTATATTAATAAGCATCCAGATGTACTGTTTTTTTGACTACACTGTTTCATACTTATTTCCCAATAAAATGCAAATTCACAATTAAAAGCTAATCTGAAGTAAACTTTACAATTAGTATGAACATTTCAGGACAGGCATTTTACCAGCCCGTCCAACAAATACCTATTCCAAACCCCCCAGCCCACACAGTTCTAGACCATGTCAAAGATGTCCCAAAATTACCGATACCTCAATTTTACAGCTAATGACAAAACTACTAATTTAGTCCTATGCATCTTCTTCTAATCAATTTATTGTTAATTTATCCTACTGATAATTTAGAACATACATGTTTTTCAGGAAAATCCACTTGTGTGTACCAAGTATTCTTCTACTTCTGATGGTCCTTCCATGAAGTGCTAAAATTAAAGATAAGCAAAATTATCTTTTAAACTAGAAAACATCTCTTGCTGTGGTCTAGCATCATCTCTCATGTTACTATGTCAGAAACAATCACCAAGCACTAAAAAACTGAAGTTTTCATACAATAATTTAATACTCTTCTGGAACAGGTAAAATACCTGACAAGGTGAAATTTTGTAAGAAAAAGAAGTCTAAGAACTAACCTACAGACTGACTAACTCAAAGAGCATCAAACACAAAAATTATCAAATAATTACTTATCATTTTGATGGCAGTTATGAAAATGCAATGTAGTTTTTCCTTTCTGTCCCACTCAGTAGCCATATAAAACTGACAACTCTCTGGCACTTCCCATACTTTGACAGACAAAAAACCCAGAAACCACATTATGGAGCACAGGTATTTACTGACTTGGTCAAAACCAGAAATGCAGTGTTACTTCTAGAGCAACATTAAAAATTACAGAGCTGTTACCTTAGTGTACGATGTACTTCACACCACTGAAAACCTTCTCTCCATCAGACCTAAAAACAAACATGGACAGCCTTACAACTTGAAATCAGCAGACTCATATTACCAGGCCAGTAAGTCACACACATTATGAGGCAATAATCATCAACACAATCTCTAGAAGCAGCATGCTAAGTACTAAATCACAAGCTCGCAGAAGAAAAGCAGCAAGAAATGCAGTTTTAAGCAACAAAGGAGTTTCAAGCTACACCCACGTGAAATTGCTTATGAAAAGCATTGTAGAAATAACTGCATATCCCCACTGTTAAATCTCAGTCCAAAGACCTTTTAAGGAAAGGTTTTAATCACTTTTAAGAACTGATTTCAGTTGGTTTAGAGACTTGCTTTGACCACATAGCAATTGTCAAACTCCACCAACTCTAGCATTTCAAGAAATGCATGACAATACATTATCACTTGAATGTGCTTATTTAAAGTATCTCACCCTGTACTACAGACATAATAAATGCATTGAGCCACAAAAGATAACCTATCAAGCATTTTGTTTCATATCACAAAAACAAAGCTATAGAAAGACTCAAGCTTCCACTTCTTGCATGCAGTAAACTTTATGTTGAGTGTAATAAACTCAATAATCAAGAGTTACTAATGGTTTAAGTTCCAAAAATTTACTGTTCAGTAATCTAATGTGTGACTCAGACTGTTAGACAAGCTAATTTAACACACAATGAATGCACCTGACAACTCCCTATGTAAATCCACCCACATTCTCATCTTTGTTCCCAGGTAAGAGCCTAGATATATTTAATGGTATTTCCCATTCTTTTTGAAGTGCTATGGGTTCAATGACATCAGCATTTCATAGAGGTGACAAAAACGCATCTTAAGCACACAAAGGGCTTCTGTCAGTGCTTTGGGGTTGTGGTGGTTTACTTTTATAACAAATCTCTCTTTATTATGCTGTGCCATTGTCTTAAAAAATAAAGAAAACATAATTAAGTTGGAACACAATCTTATGATTTCCATCAGGTATCACCTAAATGTTGTGGGTCTTTCTCCTTGGGACGCTATGTGGATTTCACAGTACTTTCATATGTCTTCTGCTCTGGAGCAATGCCATGATGCCGGGGGCTGAGCCCTCCAAAAAGAACTACGGGTAACACAAGCGTGTGCACCAACCCTCTGCCACATGAACAGGGTGGTTTTGCTTCATACAGCGTTTTATGCACGTGTGAAGGCTGTCGCAGGGCGCCAGGGGTGCCGCGGCTGAGGGCACGGCACGGCAGGGCAGCACCCCGCACCGCCCCGGCCACCACGGGCGGCGATCAAAATGGCGCGGGCCCGGCAGCGCCACGCGGGTCACCGCCGCCTACCGCTCCCAGCCTGCCCCGCGCCTCGGCATGCGGCTTCCGCCAGGGAGCCTCCCGCGGGGCATGCTGAGAGATGTAGTCCTCTCTAAGTCTCCTCGCACCTCCGCGGCTCTCAGCAGGGCACCGCGCACGGGCGGCTGCGGCCCCACAGCTGGATTAGGGTCGCCTTTCGCCTGGCTCTATTCGCGCCTCCAAGGGTGAGGGCTTCACCTGCCGGCTCCAGCCTCAAGCACTACGCGACCGGCACTGCGGGCGATCCTCCCGAACGCCCAAGCAGAAGGAAGAAGCCATCCCCCCCTCCCCGCCGGGGCAGCGGCAGACACCACATCCCGCGCCGCCTTACCGTGTGCCGACATTCCAGGCGCTCCGCGGGGAAAGAGAGGGCGTTGCGCGCGCGCCCCAGCTTTATACGTACGCTGCAGGGTGGGAACGAGGCTGGCCACGCCCCCTGCGCGCGGGCCGAGGGGCGGGGACGCCGCGCTGAGCTGGCGCGGGGGCGCGCTTGGCTCGTGGGGGCGCGCGTGGTCGTGCTGTCCGCGCGGGCTGGACGCTGAGGGGCCGGCGCGCGCTCCCGCCTCGCTGGGCACGGCGCGGCCGCCATAGGACGGGAGGGGAGGATCGTGCCGCCCGCCCGCCGGGCCGGGGCTGTTCGCTCGCTTTGCCTTACAGCTTTCATGTGTAAAACGCTGAGCGGCTTTGTGCGAGTTTCTACAGGGAGGGCAGGAGCGTACCTGGTGCAGCTCCCAAACTTAAAGAACGTGTTTCCCGAAGAATCGTAGCGTCATTAAGGTTGGAAAAGACCTGAGATCATCGAACCCAACCTGTGACCAAACACCACCATGTCAACCAGACCGTGGCACTGAGTGCCATATCCTGTCTGTCCTTAAACATCTCTAGGGATAGTGACTCCACCAGCTTCCTGGGCAGCCCATTCCAATGGGTCATCACCCTTTCTGTGAAGAAATTACTCCTAATGTCCAGCTTAAACCTCCCCTGGTGCAGCTTCCGTGGACTGTGTCCTCTTATCCTGCTGCTGATTCCCTGAGAGAAGAGGCCAACCCCCACGTGGCTACACACTTCTTTCGGGGAGTTGTAGAGAGTGAGAAGGTCACTCACCTCTGAGCCTCCTTTTCTCCTGGCTCAACACCCCCAACTCCTATCACTCCCCACAGGACTTCTGCTCCAGACCCTTCCCCGGCTTTGTTGCCCTTCTCTGGACTCTTGTCCTCCTTCTAGTGAGGGGCCCAGCACTGGACACAGCACTCGAGGTGTGGCCTCACCATTGCAGAGCACAGGGGGACAATCACTGCCTGGCCCTGCTGGCCGCACTATTGCTGACACAGGCCAGGTGCCATCGGCCTTCCTGACCGCCTGGACACAGCGGGCTCATGTTCAGCTACCAGCACCCCCAGGTCCTTTTCCACCAGGCAGCTTCCCTGCTGTCCCCAGAGGGAATACTCGTTTCTTATATCTGTCTTCTTTTCCTGTTCCCTGGGGCACCCAACTGGTTTACCTTGTGAAGCTATGCCTTGATGTCTCGGCTTTCCTTTGACTCTAATTAGATGTTTCTGAAACATTAACCACATTTCTGTGGGTGCACCCATTTCTACTTTTTGGAAGTAGCATGTGATACTATATCCCTGTATAACATTACAAGTTGTAAGAGCTGAAAAATCTCCTCCTATCCACAGCTGGCAAAAAATTAAGCTTTCTGTAGTTTTTCACTCTATACATTTAGTCTAAGGATATTGTTGCACAGTGAACCTAATAGTGGACTTTAGGAAGAACTTCTGTACTGTGAAAGTGGTGGGACACTGGAAGAGATTACTCAGAGAAGCTGTGGATGTCCCATCTCTGGAAGTGTTCAAGACCAGGTTGGATAGGGCTGCAAGCAACCTGGTCTAGTGGAAGGCTTGGCAGGGGGTGTTATTTTTATTATTTCTGGATTGTCTTTAATGTTCCTTCCAGTCCAAACCATTTTATGATTCACCCTATTCCACCACAGTTTAGCCACTTGAAGTTATGCAGCTGTACTTCGTAAAGTGACTTAGTCTCCATCTGAATCTGCCTCCTGTACTGCTGTGGAAGAGTTAGTGAAAGAAAGTCTTAGTGAAAGGTGCCTCTGCTACAGTGGGAATAACAGGAGCAGTACAGCCTAGATGATGTTTAAACTGATGGGAAACCACATCCTAAATTCTCATCTATGGAGGGTCTTACTAGCTGTTTATAAATAGTGGGTTTTTTTGTGTGTCTGTTTATTGAAAGGTTTAATATATCCATCAACTTGATTAAGGAAATAAGGGAGAAACAAAGAAAGATGGAGAAAAGCTTAAAAAATTTTTGGTGTTTTGACAAGTTACTAACAATATGACAAAAACCAATGTTCCACATATGGACTCTTTTTAGGAGGGTTTAACTGTTGGAAACAGATAAAGGAAATCTAGAATAGTGAGTTGTAAGGTGTGAAAATACTTGGCAATTTTATTCCTAAAATTATTGAGATTTATACTATCAGGAAAACTAAATAGCTGACAAATTTTAAGCAAGTTTTGTTCTGCAGCCCATGGCAGCAGACGACACTCTTCTCTCTGCTTTTCTTATACTTCCTGTTTCACCTGTCTGAAATCTTGAGTGTGAGCTGCAGTTGGCCCCTTTTGTGCTGAACAGGCATGAGGAGAGAGGTCTGCAATGCTGCCTTTTTCTCTGCCTCCCACTGCAGCTGTTTCAGCTGCTGTTTCTGCAGGAGTGAGAGTGAGAAGCTGTAAGCATCGGGGAAGAGCTGCTCGTGCTTCAGGGAGTGCTCAGCAGCCCAGCTTGGGCACAGACAAGCAAGTAATTTATGCTGCTGTTGTCTTTCCATCTGACATATCCAAAAGGCCTCAAAACTGATGTTTGCCACATGGCACAGAAAATGTTGAGCCACCCTTCCTTAGTGACATCAGGGCTAAAGATAAGCAAAGTAATCACAGCCATTAATCACTACTGAATTAGCCCTAAAGAAAGAAGGCAGCTCCTTACCATTCCTTTTCTAAGTGCTAAATAATTCCATATTTCTACCAGTGCCTGTCAAGGGCTTTTACTGCATGTTAGTCTCAAAGACTAGTTAGTCTCAAAGACTAACAAAGACTGGAATTTCTTTTTGGGGAAAAAACACAATTAAGCCTGGACTACATTACAATAAGTATAAATGGGTACAATTTTAGTTTGCATTTGATAATAAGAAGACTATAAATACTGAGGTGACTGAGGGCTGTCCAGGGCTGCGGGGTGCTCTGTAGTGTGAGCTTTGCAGGTGAAACATGGGTGAGCACCCGGTGTGGGGAGCCTCACACTGTGCAGTGCTACAGGCTTTGGAACTTGGCAGAGGAAGCTCCTCATCCCTCTGTTAGATTGGAGGGTACAGGTTTACTAGCAGAGCCTGAATGCACTGCTTTGCAAACCTTTTATCCTCGAAGAAGTGTGTCTCATATTTCTCAGCATCACCCAAGGCTGCTAGCACTGGGCAAGCTTGTGGGTCAAGTGAGGTGCGGCTTTACTGTAGGTAGACAACAATTACAAGTCTGAAAAAAGTTAACCAAACCAAAGTAAAAATGTACACCACAAACATAGGTTCTTTTTCAAAGTAAGGTTCCTTCTTTTGCATTTCTTGCCCCTCCTTCAGGCTTCCACATCTTTAACCTATATCCCAGCTGTCTGGATGAGGGTGCAAGCTGTAGAGCAAGAACTGTTGCCACTCTCCAGAGAGATCCTAAGGCTGGTCTGAACCATAAGCCTGCTTGCCATAAAGTGTTAGTTTATAGATGAGTTGCTTCTGAATTTAGCTCACCACAAGGCTTCACATTCATGCACAGTGTCAGTGCTGGCAGAAGGAAGTGCTGGTTATGAGATAATGGGGATGTACTGGATTGACTCTTGTGTTGGCCCACACAAATGTATGTCAGCCTGGAAGTCTGGTGCTATGACTACCTCCATTGCTTTTCAGGTCTAGGCAACTCTCTCAAAGTTCTCTTTTCTTGTCTTAAATTATTTCTTTCTTGTTCTTTCTCTTTATTTCTATCTTCCCCCCCACTTCCTTTCTGTTCCTCTTTTAGGTCTGGCTTCCTGGATTTTCTCCAATAATGTTGTAGCTTGGATGACTCATGTCTCTTGGTTTAGTTTGGGGTTTATACTGGTGCATCCTTTGGGATGCTGAGTTCCCTTCCCTCTCACCTTCCCAGCAGGAAGTCTATTGTATGTAGTTTTAATTTCTTCCTTTTCAGAACAGATAGTACTCATTGCAAACTCCTGAGCTGACTTTGCCATATTTCACATTATGCATCATAAAATACTTGAGTTGGGAAACAATTTAGCTTATGAATGTGACCCTGTTTTTAGTGTTTTGCAGATACCACAATTTTTTATTTAAGCTTCTCAGGTCTCTCTCTTTGGTTTTTTTTTGTTTTTTTTTTTTTAGTCACTTCAGTGTCACAGAAAGACAAGCATTTTAAATTAAAAAAAAAAAAATAAGATAATAAAAAACATTAGAACAGCTGTACAGGGTCAGATCACAGTGTCACAGAAAGACAAGCATTTTAAATTTAAAAAAAAATAATAAATAAGATAATAAAAAACATTAGAACAGCTGTACAGGGTCAGATCAAAGGTCTACCAACCCCCACCACCCACTAGTATCTTGCTCCCAAATGTAGCCCAAAGTAAATGCCTAGGGAGGGGAGTAGGGATAGAACGAGCACATCCTTCCTCAGGTATTTGCCCAGCCTCTGGGAATATAATGCTCAGAAACCTCCTAGAGGGTTATTATTTTTGTGTGCATGAGAAGATAACAATCCTCCATTAATTTTCTAACCATCAATTTGTTCAGTCTTTCCCAGAACCTTTATAAAATGTTAGCATCCCCAATTACAATGGCAAGGAATACCAGAGCTGAATTAGTGTTACAGGAAAACTCATCTCCTTTAATTCGCTTTGTATCTACTTTCTGTTTGCTCTTTGCACAGTTTTAGAAGAAGTAGTGGATCTTTCCCTCCACAGTCATTCCTTCATTGAGCACCCACCCCCCAATCTCTTCTTCAGGCTGAAGAAACCTCATTTATTTAATCATTCCTCATAGGGGAATCAGTTCCTACCTTTGACTGTATTCTTGCTGATCTGCTTTCAACTTATTTTGCTTTCTGAGGTGGGACCCCCAGACTTTAGAGTCTGTTCAAGAAGCCAGTTATTTGGCTTATGCAGAGGTACCATGATGTTCTCTGCTTTCATTTTTTGTTACTTAGCACTTCCTAAACTCTGGTGTCCTTTTTTGGCTGGCTCTGTGCATGGAGCTGACATTTCCACAGAGCTGTCTGTCATAACTGTGGGATCTCACATTGGAGCAATAAAG